GGGGGGGACTGATGGGTTTTCCCCGTACTTCAGACTCAGAAGAAAATAAAAAGGAGAAACAAAACCTAACAACTAACAACGCAAGGATGCGACTACAATTAAAGTTGCCTGGATGAGGCCAGAACACGTTCACCACAAAATCTATATATCATGGGCGATTCGATGGTCACCCCTGAGAAGTTGCTCTGAGTTATTTTCCTATTTTGTTTCTGTAATTTGGTATTGTTTTTTCCTTGCACTAAATATGTCTAATGTCCTGATATTTATCTGTTTCAGTGCAATTTAGACAGGACGATAATATAGGCCAGCTGATATAAAGTTTGAATAACAGTTAATCAAATCAGTTCACTTCAGAATAGAGGTGTGGGATGACATCGCAAGTAAATCTATTTCTGATCCTTTCCTTGATTGTTACATGTTTTTGTACTTTTTGATTTTTAAAAAAATCCTAAATCACCGTTATCATGTCAATGTTTGTTCTTTATTCAAATAAAAGAATAGAAATTAAAGAAACAAACAGGCAAACAAATATAACAAACTCAATTAATTTATATAATGTAGGCATATCCATGCCAAGCGACAATGAACAAAGACTCAATGAAAGATCTCAGTTCTCTTCCCTCACCCCTGGCGTCTTCTTTCAGTTCAGTTCAGTTCAGTTCAATTATAGAACTCAATCTACAAAATTTATGCCCGTAGGTATAAAAAGACAAACACAAATCCCAGTTCTCTTACCTCACCATTGGCGCTTTCGATTTAGATCAGTTCTAAAACTCACGCAGCAAATACATGTATCAATAAAGAAACAAACAAAGATCCCACTCCTCTTTACTTACCTATTGAGTTTTCTGCTCAGTTTAGCTTAAGAACTCACTCAACAAATATAAAAAAAGAGACAGACAGAGTTTCCAGTTCTCATCTCTGCCCATTTGCGTCTTCTATTCAGCTCGGTAACACATCTCACACAATAAGTATAAATACAGTGACAATTAACAAAGATCCCTGTTCTCTCCACTTACTCCTGAGGTCTTCGATTCAGTTCAGTTCTAAAATTTACGCAACCAATACAGTATAAAGAAAGAAACAATAAACAAAGATCTCAGTCCTTTTCACTCACCTCTGGGGTTGTTCCCAGCTGTGATGGCGTAGAGCGCCTTGGGTCTGGGTCTGTCCGGGTATTTCTGTGGCCAAGTGGACATCAGTTCTTCCAGGTCGTCGACCAGAACTCCCTTGTCATCGTGGGATATGGGAACCGCCGAGCCGTGGAGCTTTACCTGCGTTTTTTGTTTGTTTGTTTGTTTGTTTGTTAATTATTTTTATGTCAAGATAAGCTCAATGTTAAAAAACAATCAGGAAACGACAAATGAAGTTTTTGGGACACCTGAATAGACATAAAGGTCTTGAGCATCTAGCTCTCACTTGCAAAATTGAAGGCAAACGAGGCGGGGTAGGCCCAGAACAACATACGTAGGGAACCTAAACAATTGGGTAAAAGCGAAAGATCAGGGAAACGTAGTTGTTGTTTTTTTAGAGCATCCGAGCAAAGGAATGAATGGAGAACCATGATCGCTGATGTCTGTCTCAGAACTGGCACTGGATGATGATGAAGCACATAAAGACAGTGGTGGTCCCTTAGCGGTGGGAAAAGAGTAACACAGACAGACAGACAGAAGTAATAGAGGAATACTAAAGAAGTAGGATCTGCAAGTAACTCCCTTCAACCGCCCGCTATTCGTTCTTAAGTAAACTACAAGCCATACAACTGTAAGTGTTGATATCTACATTGACACAGATCTGTAAAGGGGCGAGCTGCTTCGACTGCCGGTTAGGGCAAAACCAGGGGGAATGAGACACAGATACAGAGAGATGGAGCTACGATATGTTGTAATTGAAAGAAATGTTTTAACTACAAGAAAATGAAACATTACTTTGTAACACGGGGTGCCAACTACGGATGGGATCGACCGATCGGGCGACTCAGTCGCATAAAAAACAAAGGTGTTGTTTCAGTTTCAGGCGATCTTGTCGGGCGATCGGCCCGATCCAGCCGTAGTGGGCACCCGTATTAGTGTTCAGGTTCAAATACCAAAAGAATCCCTGTTTGTAAACAGTGCACTCGATGATTCTCTTATTAAATGAAGACTTGAAAACAGCAAGAAGGTTAATTAAGTCACATTTTCCTTTAAAAAAAAGATTTCTGCATATCATTAGAAAGCAGCGACAAAAGGTTATCTGCCAAAATTAAACAGCAATGAATTAGTACCCATAATTTCGACGTGTGAACACTTTACAAATTTATTTGGATTTTATCTGCAAACCAGACTAGATTTTAAAATATTAGATAAAGGAAAAACATGTCTTACCATAGATGTCACAGAGCAGTATACTTCGTCCTCTAGGATGATGCTATCTTCTTTGTCCATAAGACAATATATGAACTGGGGTAAATGGAGAAAAAGGCTGCATTTATTCAAAATATAGGCTGTATGCGTTTTCAATCTGTACACAAAATTGTAGTTCTGGGCCTTTACATATTATGATGATGATTATTATGATGATATATTTATACACGTGTCCTAACGAGGAAACAGGGAGGGGTAGGTTGGTATCTGAGCCGAATGGGCAATATCAGCAGCAGAGCAGTTAAGTAGCAAAACAGCAGCAGCAAGGAAATCAGAAAGTATATCCTATAGATTTTTGGAAAGTATACTAAAGCTTACAAAGAGTTAGCACCTCTAAAATGGCAGTTTGCACTGTTTTCTTCCCAGAAAGATGCGATTGTTTCAGAATACTATAAGGTCTGCTGGGGTAATATGTAAAGCACATTGAGCTTGCTGTTGAGAGGGAATTTGCTGTATGCAAATTCTATCTATATATCCATATCATTATTGCTATTATTATCACAATTATCATTATTATTATTATTATTATTATTATTTTTATTATTATTAGTAGTAGTAGTAGTAGTAGTAGTAGTAGTAGTAGTAGTAGTAGTAGTAGTAGCAGTAGTAGTAGTAGTAGTAGTAGTAGTAGTAGTAGTAGTAGTAGTAGTAGTAGTAGTAGCAGTAGTAGTAGTAGTAGTAGTAGTAGTAGTAGTAGTAGTAGTAGTAGTAGTAGTAGTAGTAGTAGTAGTAGTAGTAGTAGTAGTATCTTTATTATTTATTAATTAATTTATTTATTAATTTATTATTATTATTATTATCAATATTATTATTATTATTTCTAATATCAAATAAAGAAATAACATTCTCAATTATGAAAAAAAACCTTGGCAACACAATATATTCTCCTTTTCAACACCAACTGGGGATACAATTAGTTGTTGCTGTTGTTGTTGTTGTTGTTGTTGTTGCTGTTGTACCCAGTATGTGTCGCCTCAAAGATAAATAGCAAGTTACTAAAAAGTAATTAGATAATCATGAACCCATCTCCTTTCTGGTAACATTAAATGATTAATATTCCCGCGCAACAGGAAGCACTATGCCTGCAGACCTTGTAGCATTCTGAAACAATCTCAACTTCCTAGGAATCATACAATGTAAGCTGCCGTTTTATAGGTGCTAAAATACTAACATACTGACAAGATCTTTCGCTGTCTATGGCTAGGTACCCATTACCACCCTGGTGAAGTGAGCAAAGTGAGTGTAAAATGCATTTTCCAAGGACACAACATCGCACCTGAGGTTTGGCAGCGTAACAACTAGACAACCGACGCCGCAGTTATTTATTTCAAGAGCTGTTGATATTAAGAGTCTCGGGGTATTAATGAGCTTCCACGGAGATTATATCAAGAATGAGCAGGTGTACAATTTGCCCAGATGGTATTATTATGCTGATGTTTTGGTAGTGATGAACTTGATTCGAATCCCCCGCAAATAATTATGTTCTTGAAATAGGGTTATTTGGGGGCTTTTCTCCTATTGGAATCGACCCTATCGGAGAGGGATCTCATATTTGGAGATCAAAGCTTTTGAATAATGTCACTTTGTTGAAAAATGTGTCGATTCAAAATCTCACATAAATACTTTAAAATCCTATTTCAATTGACAATCCTTGATTCGACGTCATGGTGTTCATCCACGCATTGCCCCAAAGATAAATTATGTATCATATGTAATCGTTTTCTGAATAATTTTGTTTTAAAATATCGTCTAATTTTGGCACTCTTTTGGAAATACAAACTTACAGAACGAAGTCCATCAAAGGCTCCAGCAGTGACAGCAAGTTTGAAACCCTCTGGGTGGTTTGGTCTGGTAAGCTGTGGAGGTTGGTGCTCTTGTTTCTGAAGCTTGAGTAACCACTCTCGGAGTGGGACGTATCTGGTTTTTAAAAAATGCAAGTTGAATACTTTGATACCCCCATCGACAATATCTAAATAATGAATGACGAGGTCTGCTTCAACCAGTCTGTAAAGGCCAGCCAGAAGCTCAGAGGACGCAACGTCCTAGCAGCAGACCGAGACACTCGATAAAAATTAAGTCTCCTCACACGGGAGAGCTGGGGGATGTAAAGGCGGCGTGGAAAGGAAGTGGCCACCTTATCACAATAATATGCCGAAGGCCCAGGAAGGTGTCTCACTAACAAGGCAATCCCAAATGTCCGGATCGGATGGGGGAGCAACTTTACTTTTTTACACTAGGGAGTCGAATATTCATGTCTTCTTCATGCGACAGTGATGCACTTGACCATAATACCACATACGTTAGTTCTCGCAGCGCATTGTTCAGCAGGGGGGTAAGCTTTGCTGTGGTAAAATTCAATGTGCGCAGACTGCGTGTTTTTGAGTGATTAGGCACTTGCTAAAACTTAATCAGAAACCCGCTAAAACATAATAGCGTGTTCATATTATGACCTTTATGCAGTTTCAAGGGCAGTAAAAACGCAAAGAAACTCCAACATAATAGTAAGACACCCGCTAAAACATAGTTAGACACCCGCTAAAACATAGTAAGACACCCGCTAAAACATAGTTAGACACCCGCTAAAACATAGTTAGACACCCGCTAAAACATAGTTAGACACCCGCTAAAACATAGTAAGACACCCGCTAAAACATAGTAAGACACCCGCTAAAACATAGTAAGACACCCGCTAAAACATAGTTAGACACCCGCTAAAACATAGTTAGACACCCGCTAAAACATAGTTAGACACCCGCTAAAACATAGTAAGACACCCGCTAAAACATAGTTAGACACCCGCTAAAACATAGTAAGACACCCGCTAAAACATAGTAAGACACCCGCTAAAACATAGTTAGACACCCGCTAAAACATAGTTAGACACCCGCTAAAACATAGTTAGACACCCGCTAAAACATAGTTAGACACCCGCTAAAACATAGTAAGACACCCGCTAAAACATAGTTAGACACCCGCTAAAACATAGTAAGACACCCGCTAAAACATAGTTAGACACCCGCTAAAACACGAACAAAAAAAATTTGAACGTTATGTCTCCCTGCGCTGATCCATATCGCAACTCTGCGCATCACTGTATTCACAGAGAAGAAAGTGGTAAACCTGCAAAGCAGTTTCTTTGCTGTGGTCTGTCTTGGTGAGTTCTCTTTTGTTTATTGGTTGGCTTTGCTTATTTGTTTGTTCTTCTAACCTCTTAGATTTTATGTCGATCTACTTTTGGTGTGCACCTCTGGATCGTGTTGAATGATTGTCATTAGATGAAGGAGGTTTCAGAGGGGGAAAAAAGAGGCAGTTAAACATGAAAAGGAGGAGGAGGTTGAAGATGAAGTAGAAAAAAAAGGGGGGGGGGGGGGGGGGGGGGTTACACCCCCAAAATCAAAATTCGGCTCAAAATCATGGAATTTGAGGTGTAGGGGGGGGGGCTGTGGATGGGGACAAAAAGGCGGATGGAGGAGAGATTAAAATGATTTATATCACTTTAGAGTTCAGAAACAAGAGGAGATATGCGATGAGAGTTAGGGCAGTACAATATTCATCTAGTATCTCAGTCTTTGGTCTTGAACGTTGCATCATTCTCAACTCAAATAATTGGCCCTTACAGGCAGGGCCGAAGCCCACCTCCTAAATGATTCTAAATTGTGTCAATAGGTAATAAAACATAACGTATTGTGTTACAATAAAAAGGAACATATGTTGGGCATTGGGGGTGGTGAAATTAAGCGCTCATCAAAATAATGAAATCGAAGAAATCGGCATTCTTTTGCATGTTGTGCTTTTTTTTTCACAAGGCTCAACACCTTATGTTATGTTCATTAAAAGAAACAACCTTTCTATGTGAATTTGATAGAAAAAAAAGTTTATCAAAGGCACGAAAAATGTATATTACTTTACAGTTCTAAGGACCCTAAATATTGAGAAGTTAAAAAACTTCGGGAGCTATTTCTCGCTAATTTCGTTCCAGACACTTGGTGACCCCATCTCCTCTGGTCGCAAATTTATCGAGTCCCTTTCAAGACATATAGGGCTTTGCATTTTAACAAATTTCACCCCACCCTACCCAAGGGCTGTACTACTGACTAAACTGTCTTTAGGCCATTCCCAAAGGGGGATACCAAAATGCTCTTAAGCACAGTAGAATTGTAAATGGGCTGATTTATCAATGTCATGCTAATACTGTGCCGGAACAACATAGGGTGAACTGCTGCTTTTTCTTTCCTCATTCTTACTGTCGTCATTTTTCCTCTGCCCCTTTTGTATGTTTGTCACTCTCTTGTGAATTGATATTTCCGGGGTGCCTTGATAGCCGAAGCAGACTTGTGCTGTTGAAGCTAGAGAGGAGAGAAGAGTACGCCTGATTCCCCGTTTGGACTTCTCTGTTTACATACACCTCTTGGCGCCCATAATTATGACCTTGTGCAGTTGCGAGCGAAGTAATCCCTTACTAAAACATAAGAAATTGCAATGAATGTAAACATTCTTATGATTATATCAATAACTCCATGTGCCCCAAAATTAACGAGCGCCTGATTTCACCGTGTCGTGACACAAATAAAGGAGTAGACTTACCCGGCTGTTGGCCCGTAGTTGCTAGCGATATTCATCTGCTCCTCATCCAGGTGCAACACAGAACCATCCCTGTGTTGTTGAGAAAAGACTCACGAATATACCATGAAAGTGAATTTTGAGTAGGACTAAAGACAAGCAAGGAGTTTCTTTGTGTTGTATATTATGCGTTTGATGTGTGAAATATATTATGCCACCGTGTTTCCTAGAATGCCGCTAATTAAATGTTCGTGTAGTGGTACAGATATTTAGTCTAGTTAGTTTTTTGTTCAACTTAAAATCTAAATTAGACCATAGACGATCAGAATATGCAATGACATCCTACAGATATAATACACCATTATGTTAAAATGTTTTGAAGTATCCACTTTTAGGTTTGTTGAGTTTGTTCCTTTCGCTCTGCTAACGTACATATACAGAACAGTTTAAATTAACAATTTGGAAGCAAAACTGTTGCTAAACACAAAGTATTTCCTTCCGTTTTAGAGAAGAAAAACCAGGCATCATTTAAGTGCTTCAAAATTTCATTGACTTTCTTCTCTGTTGACACCCACCCCTTGGCGCTCATATGATATTATGCAGTTGCGAGCGCCGTAAAAACCTCTACTAAAAGAAAATCTTCTTCTTCTTCTTCTTCTTCTTCTTCTTCTTCTTCTTCTTCTTCTTCTTCTTTTTCTTCTTCTTCTTCTGTTGTTGTTGTTACTGTTATTGTTGTTATTGTTGCTACTGTTGCTGCTGCTGTTCTGGTTGCGGTGGTCATGATGATGATGTTGATGATGACGATATTTGTTTGTTTCCTTAATGGGCTTAGTGGACTCTACGAAGATTTATTCGAGCGAGAGCTAGGCTCTTTTTCGGCTCCATTATCATTAAACTTTAAGGCACCTCCACTAGTCCAAATAACTCCATTCGAATTGCCATTGTTCCTGTACATTCAAAGACATGTTTGACATCCTCCTATTCATGGCTGTATCTACGGCAACGTCGGCTGAGCTCTTCATTAATAAAGTTCTTATACCATCTCAAGCTCCAATGAAGGTCCGACCGCAGTCTCGCTAGCTCAAACTGGTCCCAGCGACACGTGACGTTTTGCTTATTGGAGTACCCAGAATACACATCCTTCAGGTGCTGGTACATAGATGATGATGATGATGATGATGATGATGATGATGATGATGATGATGATGATGAAAAACAAGAAGATCATCTCACCTCAGGCGAAAGTCTGCCTCTATAATCGGGAACCCCTGAGCATTGGGCAGGCCGCTTGACATGGCTATGATCGACTTTCCCGCTGCTGTCCTGGCAGCGTCTATTGAAATAGATGTGTCATGATGGGATGGAATCGGACACTTGACAGTTTAAAAAAAAATATGGAATCATTAGTATTATCTTAAAGTTTGTTCACGTGTATTGTTTTTTGACGAAAGGAAAACCGATCTATATTCAATAAAAAGTTGCCAATTTTAGGTGACATCCAAAGGTTGAGACTGCTTGGAAACTGCAAATGTATATCTTTTGTTTCTTGAATCAACTTTTTCAGTAAAACTCACATACGAAGGTGTCATTTAAAGGGAATAAACGATGCTCATTAACCAAGCGAATTACAATCGATTTTAACGCCCAATAAGTGTAAAAATGTCGCTTTCTTCGGTTTTATTATTTTGTCGACTGCTTTAGTTCATTAGGATGCCATCATAACAATTATAGCGTAGGGCTTAGATGATTGTATTATTATATTGTTTTCGATCGCTCCTAAAGCTGCGAGTGTCTGGCTGCAGCTATGTCTTTAGAAAATAATATTATGTACTAAATAAAATATGCGTAAATAAATTACACTTTCTTGATCCACTTGGGAACTGTGTTTTATAATAACCTACTTAAACACTCACACAAATACAGTAATACACAATTGCATGAATGATACATACGAGCGTAAAATAACGAACATTGACAATCCACACGCCATTGCTTGTGGCGACTTTGCAGCGCCCGGGTTTCTAAATAGGGTAAGCGTATGTTACTCAAGGATATACCCAAGTGACCACTCACCTGAGCAGACTAATGAGTACATTTACGGAGCGAAGCGCCTGAGTACAGGTCACTAGGAAGCACAAATGTAACCAGATAATACAATGCCAATTTTTTTTTAAAGGAATCTCACCGACACCTCTGTATTATCAGTTCGACTCTTCACCTTAGCACACAAAAGACATGACTTCAATTCGCGGGTGAGATAGTATTTTTAAAATCACATATTTCCGTCTGTTAACTGGGATGCTACTCAGTCCTATCAGGCATTGTAGAAGAAACCCTCCTTCCAGTAACCTAACTTGTGTCAATACGACCGTAAATAATATAAAATAACCCCTGCAACAATTATAAATGCGTTGCGAAGGGAAGTAAATTGAGGTTTCAATAGTCAATGTCATTCACAAAAAATTAATGATGACATAATATTAATCATCATTCAGCTAGTGAAAGATGCACATTGGTGTCTATGATATAGTGGCTAAGCGTTTTGCTGTCGCACAGATGAGACCCAACTTCGATTACCGAGAATGGGGGATTGTTATCGAATACCTCGGTCTTTCTACTGTGAGTTTGCTATTGGCCTTTCAGCTTGGGTTAGCCTTCAGAGGCAGGGTCGACGCTTGCCTCTAAAACGGTCTAAATTGTGTAGATAGGTGCTTTTAAAGACTTATAGTATCACGTTTCAAGCAGGATGCAGTAAATATAGAGTACCTTTCTCCTGCACTTGGCGAATTTCCTCCGCCTCAAGCTGCTTTCCGGCATGGCTGAGAAATGTTTCGTACTCGGGAGGGCTTGGCTCGGAGTTCAATAAGGCTGCTTTCCTGGGAAAGAGGAAAGAAACGTTTATGACGCCAAAGTGTTGGCAGCATCGCCAGCATAGTCATCGTCATCGTCGTCGTTGTCCTTATAGTTAAGCATTGCTTTTTAAAATGTTTGTCATTATATTTTGTGTAGGAAAAAAGTACGAGACATTAATGTTATACGCATCGTCAACAAACACACACATACACACACACACACACACACACACACACATACACACACACACACACACACACACACACACACACACACACACACACACACATACACACAGGTACACATACAAATAGTCATTGGATAGTGGCGAGCATGCCGATAATAGTAATTCGGAACAAAAGATGTCCGATTCTAAAAATGATGCCCCGCGTTGTTTGCGTTCTTCCTGGAATATTTCTTATGCATCGATTGATGGACACAATACTCGCATATCGAATTTTTTTTTCGGGAGTTCGGCTGGCCTCAATAAATCGTTGGTAGGAGAATGTGACTGGCCGTTAAGTTCAACTTCTTTATTTTCTAAAATGTCTCTAAAGACAAACAAACAAACAAAAAAAAAAACAGGAGCAAACAATCCCTAAGAACACAAAACAAAAAAACGACATCAATAAGTAAAACAAAAAACAAAAACAAATCAAGAAACAGACAACAAACCAACCAACCAACCATCCATTAACCAACCAATCAGCCAACCAACAAATAAATTTAAAAAACTAACAAACAAAACAATATAGACACCTGGTCCTGTTAATGTGTTGATCCCTTTAACTAATAAAACAAACGGAAATAACATAGTAATTTGTCATTCACCTCACACACCAACAAAACACAACGTTTTTCAGTTACCTGTCCATCTTGGTCCAAAACACGTCTGCCCACCTTCAACAGAAGCCTACACTGATGGAGAGGATGATTCAGAAACGATCCCTGCTCCAGTATTCAGGAACAACCCGTGCACTAGAGAATGCGTAACGAATGAAACTAATAGTATTAACAATAATTAATTGTGTTACGACGTGCGTGGTGGAAAAAAGGCGCTCGTCAATATTTAGGCTTATGGAGTCATTGCTTTCATCTTAAAGGATGTTCCTTTGTCTTGCTTTTGAAGTTCTGACACACCCACCTTAAAAGTACAATAACTCGTTTACTATTCAAAATAGCCAAGAGGAATTTGGTACACGAGATTTTTATGCATTTTCTGCCAACACGACATAAACATAATTGACAAATGTCTTTCTTTATTCAAGGAGGATAATTTTCTTCACACTGACTCTTGCAAAATCCAGAGCTAAGTTTGCTCAGTATGGCATTTGGCCCATTCAAGTTTGAGTTAGTGATTCAAAACATCTGTTCATTGGCTGAATTAATGTCCCTATGGTTGTCTGAAGAATCCCGTGCCTTTCCTTGTTAAGTCTTCAGTTCCTGGCGAGTTTATACGGAGTGCAGCCTGTTTCTAATCCTCCAGTCAAGGCCACCTTACAGATGTTCTGTTGGGTAAAGGCTTGTTGGTCTTGCAAGCAAGTCCAGAACAACGATTTGATGAGTTTGGAAGGAGTTTTCACAGATCGTAGCCATTTGTGGTTGGGCGTTGTATTGTTAGCACGCTCCATCATCCGTGCCAAGTAGGGCAGTCACCGTGACGAAGGATTTCGTCACTATACCGTCGTCCTTTGAGATTGCTTTGAAAAGTAACCAAATGTGTACTATTACGAGCAGAGATTCCACCCCGTACCATCAAATTTCAGCCACCGATTCGGGCCTCTTGGGGGACGTTGGATTTTTCTGAAATCTCTATCCTCTTCTTTTAAACACCTTTTCTCTTCCATCAATGCGACGAATTAAGAACCTTAACCATTGCTTTAAAAAACACTTTACCAACGTCTTTAGTTTCATCACCAATGTCTTTGTGTTAACATTTGGCGATTTGTTCGATAAAACAGGGTTAGAATGGCTCGACGCAAAGGGCAATAATCACATAATGCACGATCTTATAAATGTCTAATAATGGTGTTTTAAGATAGTCCGAAGTACCTGACAGTCTATGCACTTATTTGGAACGGGTTTCGTACATGGGTGTTGACAATAACCCAATTCTAACGTCGAGTTGTCGCCCTTGGTTGGCCTCGCCTAGGCTTGTCTTGGACAGTTCTAGTGGTGTCAAAACGTTTGTTCAAGCGTTAGATGGTTCTTCTACACACGTTTACCTTTCTTGCAACAGCAGAAAGCGCAATTAAATAATTTATCATACACACAGCACCTTAATTTTCTGAATTGATCAGTTTTTTATTTTGAAAAACAGGTGAAAAACGTACTCAACCGTTAAACAGAACGGACTTTCATAGTGTGTATGGTGTGTTTACATATTGTCTACGTGATTCAAAGCAAATGTTGTGTGTAGGAAGCGTTGATTTCAACGTAGACCTAGAGAAATCAATACCTACACTTTGTCCACGCACTACTTCCGGTTTATGATTTCTTTCGTCTGCTCTTGCACAAGGAGTCTCATAAGTCACACAAGTCGTACTTTTAATTTTTACTCCAATTCTTACGCTGTACCGAAAATTATCGTAATATAATGGGTGTGACAGAACTTTTGCAACTCAATATCTTGAATAGAAGTCGAGACATTTGCAATTGAAGGAGTTGGGGGGTCACCTCGTTTCAGAGGTAAAATTAGCGAGAAATGGGTCCTAAATTATGTCGCTTTAAGACTTGAGAGTCCTTAGAAACTGTCATTTATTTTTTTGCCATGATATTTGCTAATTAAATCCTCACAGAAAAATGATGTTACGTGGATACGAAAAATGTTTAGCCAAAAAACAAGAATTCAATAAAATTTGTCGAATGGGCAGAAACATGCTGGTTTCTTCTATTTAATTATTTGACGAGTTTCTGATTTCAACACAATGCCTCACAATTTGCCTTCTCTTCCAACAGTCCTCTCAATGGGGAATGCTAGAGGTACCTTGAATATTTTTGCAAGCTGTTGATTGCTCTAAGCGCAGATAGTAAAATTGTCAAGGAGATAGAGCAAGAGAGAGAAAGAGAGAGAGGGAGAGAGAGAGAGAGAGAGAGAGAGAGAGAGAGAGAGAGAGAGAGAGAGAGAGAGAGAGAGAGAGAGAGAGAGAGAGAGAGAGAGAGAGAGAGAGAGAGAAATTGGGGGGGGGGGGAACTGTTTCATGATTATTAACAAATTTTAATCATATTATGTATATTATCAATACTTGCTTTTTCCACTTTTAGCATTTGAATTTTGACTAAACATTGTTCGAGCAATTACTCGATTAACAAAATGAAAAAAAATATATAAAAAATTTAGGGTCAATACGCCTTAGCAACTGATGAACGATATGC